CGGATAGAACGCTGAATAAAGTGATAGCACGAGAGATGAAGGCATACATCTGGTTAAATGAAAAAGATAAAGATGAGATGAGGGAATTTAAACTGACATAGGGAAATCGATTTCTCTTTCCATACTTTTCAATTACAATCAGAGAAGGTTATGACCTGTTTCGTTGGGATATTGAAATTTTGTCAACATCTAAAGATCTGTATAATCGGTCATCAGTCATCACTGCCTCCCACTAGTTCCCGACGCCGCCACCAGGCGGATGTTATTTTTCTCCATTAATGAAAATATCCAAATCTCATCAAAAATGTTCATTAATATTTTTCAATATTCCGCGTAAAAGCTTTCGTATTATTATTTCTTTTTTGCGTCAAAAGAAACCACTTTAAAACTCTTGTAAATAAAATGATTGATTACGAATACTAGAAACAGATTGATCAAAGATTCTTTAAAGCTTGTAATATCATTATGACCGTGCAAAAGAATATTGGCCACTTTGGCAAACTTCCATAAAAACCCAGTTAAATTTTATCCAAACAATTGAAATATTTCCATAATCACGTTGCTACTTATACAGTAAAGAATACTGTAGCAAATCAACGGATTTCAGAGAAGGAAAAAAAAAAGTTTTTCCAACTTAAATATGCATTTAGCGTCTTCTCTAGTGATATTAATAAAACTTTAATCACTTGGAAATATTTCAAGATCTAAATCTAAAATTCTATTCGCGGAGTATAATATAATAAGATAATAAAAGATTTTAATTAAATTTCCAAATATATTTATATTAAATAAATTCAAATTTAAACATACAATTTTAATATCTGTATGTGGTATTAAAATTGATTGTCTAGTAATTATTGGAAATGAAATTCTTTATGTGGTTATTCTTCTTTAGAATAATAGACGGAAAAATACTCTGCGGTCATTTAACAATTAAACCAAATAAAAATAAATTCGATGAATTGGTCATCTCTGGCAGAGTTGGTCAGGATTTGTATATATGTATATTGTATATAGTTTATTGTATATATAAGATAGAATGAATGGTACATAGTGGATAATATTGAACAGTATACTATTGAATGTATAATAACACAGATACTCGCTATTCAGCAATATTCTATTCAATGTAATTCAATTGAATATTAATTATACAGCAGAGAAACAAAATTATAAGTATTTGATTCCCACAAAAGAGTTATGTCGGAGCAATAATAATTTCTCGACAATTTATACTCACATCGAAAACCAGATTGGATTCTCGGGTCTCAATATCGAAGGACTTTCACATATTTTTCAGTACTTTATTTCTTTATTTGGGTAGAAAGTTTATGTTTCGCACGTGAGCTGCATAATAGTTTATCACGTGAATAATTGCTTATATAAGTGAGATTTCTTGTAAGATAAGCTGGAGGGTCAATAAAAATTGACTGATTAATTTGCGATTGAATCTATCTCAAAGAAATTTAAAATAAAATTTTTTGTCTTTAAAATTGGAATTTTAGAATAAAAAAATAAAAATTGTAAAATTTTTGAGTTAAATAAATCCTCAAAAGGTCAAAGTTATGTCGATTGACTCTGACAATGCATTGTAATTTATTTTCCCAGCGGATTTTTCAGTAGCTTTTTATTTAGGATAGAATGTTTTAGATTGCTTTCGAATTCAATCTATTGGGAATTAAAAATTTGCGATGAGAAAATAAAATTACGCATTTTTTTTTGAGCTCTAGAACTCACCAGTGAACTTTTGATCTACGAAAATCAATCAAAATGTTGCCTCTATTTTTTCAACACTAATATATTCCATTTCACACGGAATTAAAATCTAAAATTTGATGGAACAGAATAAAATAAATCTAAAAGCTATTTTTGTGAGTATGAAAATGACTGAGTTATGTAAATCTCTCGTAAAAATGAAAACAACATTTAAATAACTATTAAAGAAATTGTAAAAGATGTCACGAATGAGGTGAAGTGAGAGATAAATTGACTCGTTGACAGCCGGGGGTGGAGAATCATAAATAAATAAAGTAAGAGTCGCCACTGCAGAAAGTTAACTAAACCATCCGTGGTGCAGTCACGAGGATAAAACTACATTAAACTGAACCCTAAGCCCTGAGCTAGCAGGTCGAGCTTCTATAACGGACTTTACTCTGACAGCTAATCCGTTTATCCTAAGCGTTGGAATGCCATCCAGATTTGAAGACTAGTGAAATAGATACCGAAAAAAGGTGTTGAAAGGTGCAATGTCCAATTTAATGGCTCGTAATTACTTTATTTCACCGAGTTAACTTTACGATTTAAATAAACATTTATTACAGATCATTAAAGAGATATGATGGAAGTAATTACGTGATTTATTGTCAAAAAAAAGAAAATTACAGTTTCACATTAAAATTATTCCAAATTCTATAATTCTTCCATTTTAAATTGTCAAAATTACATTCGAAATTGTAAAAACTAATATTTAAAATCAAATTGATAAAAATGTAATTTTTTTTATAATTCTTTAAATGACTTCTTTAATAAAATCACAGGACATATCATTAAATCTATGAAACTTACGAGGATTTCCAGATTTATTTTTTTAACGATCCCAAATCATTCGCACCGCAAGTTACGGTAATAGCCCTAGTACCCGAGTACTGAAAAAGAAAAAAAATAAATACCCCAGCAAATATTTTTTCAGTCGTTCGACACTCATTTCGCGTGCAAATAAGGCTGCCTATTAGTGCATCGCGGTTCAATGCTACCACTCGTTATCTAATACTTGAACTACACCATTCGATCAGTCATACATCAACCAGGACAATCGCGATAAGGCGCCTGTATAAAATATCGATTTTTCCTTATTCGCGTTTTTAACTTTTTTAATCCGTACTTATTTCTAGCGTATCATCATTACTCTCATTGCCAATGTTGACATAACAAAAACATTGAAGATAAATTTTACTTATCTGATAGTCATAATGTTAATAGTGTACGATAAAATAATGCATTAAGTAGTTCAAGCACATTATAGTCGGACATTACCTCGGACAGATGCAAACTTTCGAGTTATTTCAATGTTTCAATTTTTTCTCTCAAAAATTGAAATTTTGATATTTAATTATTGACTGCTCCCACAATTATATTCATTTTTAATCATTAATCATGATTCAATAATTAATATTCAACATTGCTAATAATTTATTTATTAAAATGAATTGCTTTTTGTAAAAAAAATCTAACATATTTAATAATACTCTATTGATTTTTATTTTGTTCAAATCAATTATTTAAATTTTATTTATTAAATCATCTCATCCTACGGGAGTTTTGAAATCAGATCAAAAATTATTTTATTAAATTTAAAAATTTATCGAGTGAATAAACACTGTCAAGTTTTGAAATATCTTCAAATGTATCACAACAAAAATTCCATAGCAGTTTGAATAGATAGAAATATTTATATTTGAAAATGTTTTTTGTCGTATCTAAAGAAGGGTCGGATAATTTGATCACCCTGAAGGCCAACCACCTTAAAATTATAACGAAAAAAAATAAAATATATCGTAACATTCCAGTTTCTCCTTGCCCGAGAGTTTCTTTTTTTTCACCCTAATTTAACAAAATAAATAAACACGGAAAACATCGATCTCACAAAGGTAGTCGACATCATTTCAAACTTTCTAACAAAAAAATTTCTTCTCCGAATATCCATATGAATTTCGAATAAAAAAATTGATAAATGAATTTTTTTATTTTCAATGTATCTTTAATTTCTTCCCTTCTTCTACCAGCAAAATAAATTACCTCATTAAAAACTTCGTTTTCTGGCATTAGAATTAAAAAGCACATTAATAACTCAGTAGATTAATTGAAAGACATAAATAATAATATTGTATATTGTATATGTAATAAAAATAAAATTTTTATTATAGAGTGTAACTATTTAATGCAAATTTATCCAAGATTGAAGAGTTATCGTCAAGATATCACGCAAGTTACCATGTTTAATAATCACCATGCTCAAATAATTATAATATATAACACCAAGGGTGAGATCATCACGTTAACAACGCCTGCAGCTGGTTATGGTTGACTGGGCTTCTCTAACCGTAAAGGTCATATACCTCGCTCAATATTATGTCAGTTCCGTTTATGGAAATCCGGTTTACCATAGCTTCATTTTTGAATAAATAATATTAATATGTAATGGGGAGTTTCCCTTAATGACTAAATATTATCATTAATTTTATATTTTAGATTTAAGTTTTAATTCCTAGGGATAAAAAATCAAATTTTCAATTTTTGTTGAAAAATCTTGAACTATTTATAAAAAAAGAATAAGTAAAAACTTCAAGTGTGTTATAAAAAATTTTTTCCTCAATAAAAATTCATATCAAGATTATTGTTTGCTTAGCTTTAATTTATGATTAACTTCGCAAATATAACATTTAATGCCGTCGGATAAAAGCAGTATTTTTTAGTGTGCTACTTAAGTACTGACCAATGAGCTTGAAGGAGAAAAGTAAGAAAGAAGTAAAAAAAAAAAAATTTTCACCAGACTTAAACTTCCTATCGCGCCCTTTTGCAGGCACGCGAGGCCGCTTGTCAATTCCAAGCTCACATTTAAACGCAATTAAACGACCTTCTGAACTTTTGCTCACTTGAACTCTACATGCCAGTTGAACAGCATTAGTTTATTAATTTATTACCCGCAATTACACTCGGTTCATTTGGTTTCGCTTTCAAGCTAAAGAAATAAATCCTTAATAATTATGAATTAAACTACAACTTAAGTTTCAATTTATTTAAATAATTGATAGTTCTAAAAATTAAAGGTTCAAATTTTTACAACTAATGTTTAGTGTTTTACTTTAAAATTTTTGGAATTTAAAAAATATTGGCTAGTATGTTTTCTAAGCGCGATAAATGGTACGTTAAAACCAACAAAGGTGGAAAAAGTTAAAATTATTACATGAAGTAAACCGTAAGTAGAGTAACAGAAGGTTTAAATGAAGCCTATGGTTAAACTGATTACATCAGTGATAACAAGAAAAGTAAACGGTCTTGGGAATCTTCCACGACGAAAAGATAACAAGAAAATAAATGTTGGCTCATGGATTTATCGATCGGGTTACTTTACATGCGTAGCTTTAGCTTTAGGGGCTTAGATTTATCTTTGTATCTATATGTATATAATATATTTGGATATATTTAATACCACCTAGTATATATTTCACGGCGATGGTGATATTGTGATATTACTTTCTTCTATGGGAAATCCAGTTGGAAATTGGGCGTGTTCGTATGCAAATCATCCACTCGGCTCTGCCGTAAAATGGAGTTTGTAACGAATTTTGAATAAATTTTCTCTTTGGATTGAACGGCCAAGAGCCCTGAAGTTGTTGTTGAAATACATATTAAATTGATTTAGCTTAACTTGATAATGAATTAAATGTAATGGCCATTACAATTGAATCTATAATTTCAGAGTTTTTTTAATCATCATACACTTCAATAATTCTGAATTAATACAATGTTATAATTTATCATACAATTAAGAATTATTGAAATAAATTCAGAATTTTATTTAGTGCAATAAAAATTGATTTATAATTTTGTTCTAATTATCAGATATTTTTTCTGAAAGTTCACAAAAAATGAAATAATTAATAGTAAAATTTTTTTTTACCATTGAAAGCTTTAAAATTAATTGAAAGATTTATTTCAAAAAATTTTCTCATAAATTCGTCGTTGATTTTTTTTTTAAATAAAGTGATCATGAAACTAACCAATTACTGTAATTTTTAATCTTGAAATAAAAAAAAATATATACAACGTAACATTTGTTTCAGATTTTAAAAGAGCCACAAGATAATACACTGTTAAAGACCGTTTAAAATTAAATCAACAAATGCCTTTGCAAAGCTATTTAGATTAATTTACACCACGCTGAGAATGAGTCCCGATCGGAAACGCTTAGCTGGCTGGCGTTATTACCTTAGTGACGCCGTACACCAGTACTAAAGTATATAAGTATATACGTACTGAGATCTAGGTACTTTGATGTGAACGATGCAAAAGGTTTACTCAACCCCTTTACAAAGTTCACATTCGCAAATTCTCTAAACTACGCCTTCCAAGCCATCTGATTCTATCTAATCCACACCATACGAGAGCAGCCCTTATCTCTGATGTTTGCTCGCGGCTCAAATAACCTCGGTTTCTAAAACGCACATACCATAAATAGAACCCAGCTGATTCAACACAGAGAAAAATTTTAAAACAGAATTTGAAGGAATTCAATTTATAAGCACCCTGTTGCGCTGAATTTTTGCTCGAATTCCAGCAGACGGTACTCGGGCTCGGGCTAAAACAAATTTAACTGCTCTACTCGATTCATTTATTTGATGATGGCTCGCATGTAGGCTTGTAAAATCCATGAAAAATTCCATGAAAATAAAACGTAAAATAGAACAAATGCGCAGAAAATTCCGGGTAGATCTCCCATCACTCGTCGCCATGCCGACCGTTACATTTACATCTGTCACATTCAATCACGCGTGTGATTCATATTTGATCAATAATACACTTTGATTACCATATTGATGGACATCATCGAAAGTGAAGAGTCATTATGATTTTTTTTATCATCGCAATCATGGATTACGCATTTGATTGGAAAATTTACGTAATTTCAATTGCTATACATAATTTTCTTCTGAATTACGGACAGAAATAATCAAATCATGATTAATTTTATAAAAATTGTCTCTTTTTTTTCACATTTTTCCATACGCGCTCTATTCATTATATTTTTACGCTTAAAGCAGGTACACGAGATTTTTTTTTATTTTAATTAAGCCACAAAAAATGGATTTGTTTTTATCGAATTTCATCCTTTTTTTTTACTCTCGTTATCGACGTTAATATTCAAACCGTCACTGTGTAATTAAAACTGATCTGTTGTGACTGGATGATTGAAAAACTTACTTCTGAAAAAAGTCAATTTCCATTTAAATGCGTCATTTTAATTAATTTAAGGTTTCAGTGAAGTTATTTACGTATTTTTGAACAAGAATAAAAGATTAAAAGGTGAAATTTCACGCATTAAAAGATAGTGTTAAAGATAAAGAAAATTTTAATTCCTTCAAAAAGTTTAAAATAATTAAGTAAATTGAAATACGTCAATTTTATTTCGTTTGCTATAAAATAATTTTAACTTTACTAAAACAATTTATACTTATGATATGAAAAATTTTAATATTTTAATCACATGTAGAAAAATAAAATATGTACTAATCTATTGACGCAATTTCATTATTCAATGAAGCAATCAATCGATTTTTTTATGAGGGTAATCTATTTAAAGTGCCCTCATTAACCTTGAATGGGATACGTAATTAATTTTTTTCAGGTATTTATTTATATAAATTCTTCAATCACTTTTATTTTCATTCCAATGAATATAAATATTTTTATTGACTAATAATTAAACCTGTTATCGTTCAGGAAGCTCTTTGAGGAATTATTTTTTTTTTTATATAAAATTTTATTGAACACAAAAATTTATCAATTTTTTCTAATTTAATTATAAAATAAATTTATCATTTTCTTAATCTTTATTTTAGGTATAAATAATTAAAAGATCAAAATATAAAAAAAGATTAAGACGTTGTTAATTTATATGAGGACTGCCCTTGTAATAATAATAATTATTCATAAATATTTAATCCCAACTCCGGGAAGCAATTATTTTGAAACGGAAGAGTAAATTGCCTGTCAGAGACAGAGACAAAGAAATTATACATTCCAAGTTTAATCGGGCTTGTCAAAGATTAGTGTGTAACAATGATGATCATCATCCCGGAGCTAAAGTTTTATACACAACGGAATTCATTCGCTTATGGAAAATAAAGCAATAAAAAGTTTTATCTCCTTGTTTCTCTTAATGTTTAACGAGCATCAAGTGGGTTTACTGTTATATTCAAATTTATAATACTAAAACAATAATAATAATAATTTTAGATTTTCAGGTAGTTAGCTCTCCAGCCTAATAAAAACAATTTTTTCAATTATTAATAATAATAAAATCAGTAATACTAGAAAATAACAAAACGTTTCGTGTGACATTAAAATTATTGAAGCTGATATTTTTAATGTTAGATTAAAAATGTATATCTCGCACAGAAATCTATTCTGTATAAATATTCAAAGTATTTGAAATACGTGATTGGAATACTCTAAATGTTGACACCCAGGAATTTTATCATAGTGTACTATAATACGCCGCCAGCATTCTTTAACAATAATATAAATTTTCATATCATGAGTTATTTTATGTCAATATAAAATTATGTTCCAGTCCAATGACACGCTGAACTGAGGGGATTAAGTATAAGAAGTTTTCAACTTTATATGCGATTTAGTCACGATCTAACAATTAAACTATGCACTAAGAATTTCAAATTAAATACGTCATTTTTTATTTATTTAATTTTTATTATAATAAAATTTAATATTATTTATAGCACATCTCCCCAAATAATCCTAAATTAAACTTTATTATCCTTCCATACAACTAAAAGAATTAATAATAGTTCTTAATTTATTTTTTACCTAATTTGTTATCATAAAGTGATCATTATTTTGGCATCAACCAAAAGATACGCTCATCCTAAAATGAATGACTTACAATGAAAGTCCTTGCAGACTAAACAAATATAAAATGAAATCATTTCTTCCAAGAATACAAAACCCTCTTCACTGAGTAAACAGTCTACAAACGACCCATAACATGAATATTGATGTAATACAACAATCAGAAATTCCAATCTCACTTTACACTTCAGTTATCTTAGAGTAAAGAGTAGAGATGCAATAAGGCAGTAAATGGGTGAACAAGTAACTTGATCATTGAACATATATTTATTCCCACATCCACATCCTCGTACTATATAAATATAGGGACCGAATAGGTGGCGAAGCAACAAGTTTATCGGGTATCGACTCTCGTAACTTCAATACCACAAATTTATAACCCTAATCCATTATTTACAAACCGCGCCATCGTTTTAAATCAACAAATAACATTTTAACGAAGCGATATGAAAATTTTAATTTACAGAGTTTTACAAATCCCTGGGTTTTGAGTTCGAGTCTCATATTCAGAAAAACCGACGCAAATATAAATAAAAATAAAAGTATGAGTGTAAATATTTATTCGCTGCATCCAGATGGATGTAAAATTTGTTTTTTGCTTCAGCTTCGTGGTGAAATTCTCATTATTTATGAAAAATAATTTTCGTAAGTAGGTCGAGTTCGAGGGAGTGATACTAATTTCAATGTATGATAAAAATAATCTCTCGGTAAGATTAATGTTAGCACTTAATATATCACTTGAGATTGCCAAGTGATTGAATAGAGGATTGTCCAACTTTCTCCTCACACATTTGAATCAATTTAACGGTGAGAATAACCCTGAGAGCATTAAAAAACCTTCACCCTTCATTTTACGCATCGTCACCCTCGCGCTTGTTCCTTCTTTTTCTTCACACCATATATCCACTTTCATTTTTTGCGTTCTATTGATATGACGTTGAAGGGATGTCATTAACCGGCTGGAAAAAAGTAACCTTTGATGGTGAAGCTAAAAGGTTTTGCGATCAAAGTTAAAGAGTATGGACTTAGTGGTTGTGATTACTAATGATTTATGCGCGGTTTAATAGGCCAGAGATTCTTTATTTGCTCAAGAAACCGAGGATTTATGAGCAAAGACGTTTATATTAATTTTTTTTTATGGGAAAAATAAAAACGCTTTATACTCAGTTGAGGGTTTTTATGAATTTTACTTGGAGAATTTTTTTACGGTGATTAGTAGATTTGTATTATTCATCCGGGTATTTATGGTAACTTGGATATTTCTTAAAATTTACCCCTTGGAGGGTGAGATTAAAATCTTGGAAATTATGTTCCACCTTACTTTTTATTCCCTTTACTTGTCTGTTTTTTTAAACTATTGATTCGGTGGAAAAAATGTGAATATGAGGAGCAATACTTATTTTATTTGCGATTTATCTAAACCCACTGATGAAAATGTCAAAAATAAAAAAGAAACGAAGGATTTATGATAGACAAATATTGCGGGACCAGGGGATGCAATATTGCCAATAATAGACATTTTTGTCAGAAACATTCGTTTAAACTCGATACATGCAGATTAATAAAAATGAATGCGTTATTTTGATTGTGTTTTTAAAAGAAACTAAATTTTTATTTGTTATTCTAATTTGTTTAAGAATTACAAAATTTTTTACGTAAATTTAAATATTTTTGTTAAAAATAACTCTATTTATCAAGTTAAAAATTTTAATTTACTTTTACTTTATTATATAAAAAATAATTTCATACAATATAAAGCTGTATATAAAAATTAAATGAAAAACATTATCGATAGTCGGTAAATTCTCTAAAAGATGCTGACAGCTTAAAATTTATGTTCCCGGTTCGAATCCAAGCTGCGGTAAATTTTTTTTTTCAATTTAGTCAGTTGCATAAATAAATTATTACTCGAAAATTTTATAAATGGTTTTTTTTTTAAACAATTTTCTTTATCACGTCCGATAATCGGGAGTCTTCCATTACACAGTAATTCGTAGCCTGAGTTTAAGAATAGCAAAGTAAGTTCAAGTTGACAAGAGCCACAGTGGCGAAACTGGTAACGCGCCAGAACGATGGCAGGCTACTAGGTCCTATCAATGGTTACTTCAAAATGGTGTTGTCAGACGTTGGGAAGCTTTCATTCGGGGACCAATGTAGTACCGTGCAGGGGGTCTGTTGCGTGTTAATTCTATCCCAGTGACAGTCATCGTTAACACGCTTCCCACGTCATTGATAAACGGCAATCTGGAGTTCTCGGTTCGAATCCAAGCTGCGGTAATTTTTTTTACTGTCATTAATTTTTTTTTTTTCAATTCAGTCA